TCTTTTCATTTCATATTCATCAGAATATGGCAACTTCATAATCCTAGATTTTTAAATGAATACAAAATATTGAAGATGCTGTTAGGTATAATTTACAGCCATATATTTTTCTAGATCTTTATGTGAAGTATACTGATTAATAAGAAAGACAGTTTTCATGAATTTATTTTAGCAATTATTAAAGATAGTCTACTTATGAATGTTCTTATTTTCAAACCCCTCAGTAATCCAGTTTTCTTATAAACATAGGGACCGTCTAGCCTTGGCATGCTCCGTGGATCATTCTATGACACATAAAGTCTGAAGATATAGCAACTCATGGGATTTAGTTTTGAGTTCTGAGAGATTCATCCTTTGTATCACATGATATTTCTGGAGCACCTTTGACTTTGCTAATCATGAAAGCTTTAGGAATTTCCTCTTAGGTGATGGCTGTTGCAAAATAAAAATCTCATTCTTTTTAAAACACAGATTCTATCTTTTCCTGGGTTTCAATTTACTATATGCAAGCAGTAAAACTTTTCCTAACAAAGGCTTAATTAGAATGGTTAATAACTATGATTTCCAAAGTGCCTGAGTCAGCCTTAGTAATAATTAAGGAGTCTTGTTCCATACAAAATGCTTTATTTAACCTTCATGCCTTCATTCAGATAATTATACAAATGCATACAGATAAAGGTTTAAACTCTATTTCAGTTCACAGCTCAATTCATAGGAAAGTTGAATACAGAAAAGCAATGCACCAACAGAATATGTCTGAGACACCATTAAAAACAATAACACTTGTTCATTTAAATCTCTGAGAATAGACTGGAATAATCTTCTGAGAGAACCTCATTAGGAGAGTCTCCCTTTTCATTATCATAGGGCAAAAAAAAAAAAATCACCATTTTACAGTACAAAGAAAAAGCTCTGAGTATATTTACAATACATACACTATACATAAATACAAGAACAACACTTACATAATATTAATAAACTTATAACAGGAGCTGCCTAAACACTACAGAAGATATAAATGCAGAGGAAACTATTAGGAAATTAGATCTTTAAGCTGAAGAAATAAATTCATTTGCAATTAAAACTCTGAACAGAAAAACCAAACAAAGATGTAAGAACTCAACACATTTGCTTGCCAGCATCCTTGGGGACTTTATCTTTTAATGTGTAGGCTCTCCTCTGGGCACTCTAACTCTGGGTCATGCGCCCAAGAGTCTGTAAGATTCCATCCACACAAATGAATCAGAAGCAGCCCATCCATTTGCTTTGCTGTGCAGAGGCCTCCAGCCTAGAATAACTAAATGACATCTTCATATTTTTACACAGAAATATCTTGTGGTCCAATCACTGTGTGTAATGAGCTACATGTTGAGGAGAAGCAAAGAGATGCCTGCTTGATTTGGCCAAAGATGATGTTTTTTCTTTATTCTCGTGTGTGTGTTTTTTTTTTTTTCTGATATGACTGGGGGATTTATTCAAGGGAATATGACATCTGCACTGAGCCCCACACACCAAGAGCAATGTCTAGACTGCTACTAATTATAACTAAGTCATTTTAAGTGGCAGGTGGGTATATTAAAGGTGGTCTGTTCTCATCCGTTCACAACACAGACAATTCCTAGTATATCCTCCTATGGACAAACATGAATTTGCTGGTTTCTCTTTGGAAAAGGTGATCATGATACACGTAATTGCATTATGAGGCAGGATGACATAATACATAAGACAATGTTTTCAAGCTGGTTTTGTTAAGTGGTTAGCTCACATCCATCCATAGTTGGTTTGCCACGTGACGCAATGTGTCCCACACAGACATGAACAAAACAATACAACCACCATCTCACGGGGGGGGGGGGGGGGAGAGACAGTGGTTTTCAAAGATGAGCCTTCGGACACAACAAATTGTACACAGACAAGTTGATAGGAAAGAGCCTTGCATGTAGGCACCAGTGCCCAGTTCAATGATACCCAATGAATGTAGTAATTTCAGGGACAAAATATATTCTATGGTCTTGATACAATCACAAAATTCTGCCACAGGAAAGCTAGAGATGTGAGTAGGAGGAAAATAAATTATCTGTAATGTTTAATGTTGTATTTTTGGAGAACAAAATGAACATACAAGAAAGATGTCAAAATATTCCTAAAATATCTTTTGTTTTTGATTGCCTGGACACTTTTACTAGTAGAATTGGAGCTGAATTTTCTCCTATAAACCCTCATTTCTCTACAAAAATTAATCTCTGTCAAGGACTTGGCTAACCTGCCTTTGAAAAAGAATGATTCATAACAGGAGTCACTGAAACACTTCAAATTTCTAGAGATGAAATGCAGAAAGAAAAAAACGTTATTGATGTGACTATTGCCACTATTCATCTCTTGTCAACCCACTCAGAGTGGTGGCATTGTCATTTGAGAAATAGTTGTTGAAACTCAATTAAGTGACAGGAGTCTCAGTCTATAGGACGTTGTGGACATAGACACTTGCTTTCAGCTTGGAGAGAAGTTGTTTATACAGCTTTTATCTCTCCCCCCAGCCAACTAACAGGGAGAAAGCTCATAATTCAGGAGATTCATTTTCAGAAACTGAAACACTCTGAGAAATGGCATTCTTAATGTTTTCAAAGTCCATTAGCGCTTCCATGAATCAATACTGCCAGAGACCTTCTTCTATGCAGACAAGGAGGGATTTCATTTCTCTGACGTTAGAGATTTCTCTGATGTTAGATAGCTCCTCACATAAAACTCAAACTAACAATACCATAAGCAAATTATTTATGGGACTATTTAAAACATTCCAAAGCAGTGCTGTTAAGTAGCCCTGGAAAGGAAGCCCACTGGTCTTCTGGATGGTGCCATCACTACACATGAACACCTGTAAGGATGACCTCTGGAACTGACAAGCATTTCTATGGAGGTGTGGGCTTTCACAGACTGTGGTAGGTCTATTAGGGAAAAGGTGATTACTAATCAGAACTAAATTGCCGTAGTAATCATGAGGGGTTTTGCAGATCTTCGGGGCCCTGGGCAAACATCTGAAAGAAAGTGACAAGTTTAGGGAGATCTCTGTTCGATGTTTGTCTAGAATGACCACCTATCAGTGAGTTTACAGGAAGGTTCTGGTTTCAGACCCTCTGTATTATTGTCACATTAGGTGCTAGATTGCGTCCTGTAATTTTATCACTGCAGGGCTAGCATAACAAAACTGAGTTAGAGACTGGGACTCTGGCTGCCAGGAAACAGGTAACAGGGGTGTGCACTAGAGTAGATAAAACACGGGCTGCCCAACCAGGAGGCTGTGTAGTCCCACTCTGCCTATTTGTCTTGTTCTGTGCCTGTAGACATTGCGGCCATGCCTGCTGTGCCTCGGTTTCCCTTCCATGAAGGGGACAGTGGTTGTATAGCCAGGAGGTAACACTAGAATTCCCAGTGAAGCAGGCAGCTTGTGGCATCAATAAGGAGCAGCTACCGTTTTCACTGTGCTTTCAACCTTGAGCGATACTTCAGCACTTTCAGACAACATGGAGAAAGAATGGAGTCAGAAGGTTTGATTTTAGTGGGCCCAGGGAACACAGCTGGGCTTTGACATGGCACCTGTTTGGTTTTCCTGCTCTACCTCCTGCTGCATTTGTTTTTACCCCCCCTTTTTTTTTTTTGAAACAGAGTAGAGCACATTGTGGAAGGCCTTTCTAGAGCTGAGGTTGGGCTGGGAGAATGCAGTCACATACACTGTCTAAAACCTGCTGGATTGTTCACAGCCATACCTTAAGAACTGTTCTTATCGAGTGTTTGGGTCTGAGAGAGTATAGCTTTCCTGGAAGCCCCAACGCCAGGTTCATGTCTATAAACAGTCTCATCACTCATTTCTACCCATGACTCTACTTGTAGCCATAAAATAATTGTAGAGAAAAACTTGCAAACTACTGAATGTCCATCATGAGGTAACTGTCAGGATTAACTAAATAACTGCCTGAAGGCCTTCACAAGTATCAGAAGATCTTTTGTGGGGAGGGAAGAGTAATTTGTCAACGCTCACCTCTAAATGGTCCTTGATGATATGAGGATATGTTAGGTGAAAAGAAAATGAGGCACATGAAGAAGGACCTGTGCATGGATCTAAGTGGGTGAGATAAGGCAGACAGAAAACCCAGTTTTGCTCTAAGCACTGAATCAGTGTTTTCCACTGAGCAAGCCTATCTGAGCTATGCACGCTCTCTCATAAGTCTGAGGTACATCACAGTCAAAATTTTATCTGAGCATTATAATTGTCGTGTGCACTGCAGATAACATTAGTCTCTATATTTGTCTGCTTATATTCAAGTAAAAAAGTAAAATTAAAAGGAATTGCAAATAAGGTTGGTTATACTTCAAAGTGTCGAAAGCCCTTTTCTGTGGGTTTGTGTGAACAGATTTAATTGACTATGTGCATGTATTTACTCTCTCTGCATGTATCAAACTGTGCAGGAAAAACCAAGTATGATAAAGAATTATTGCTGTGTGAAAGTATAGGATTATCTCATTGGTCATCTTCATTGACAGGCACTTTTAGCATTTAATTCATTTCTGAAAAAATGGTCACTAACTTTTCCTATTGCCATTGCACATTCTTTTAGTAGGTGGCCATATGCATACACTTAACACGAACCCACGGCAGAAAACAACCCCTCTGGAATTTAAATAAGAAGAAACACCTGTGTTTTATTTTGTTAATTGAGAACCATTTTGTTCTGGATGAAGATAAGTGAGAAGAAAGGAGGATTGCTAGATGATTCTTTCTAGAACAAGTAAGTCCCCAATTTCCCCTTCTCAGAAACAAACAAACAAACAAAAAACGGATACGTTTGGAAACATGACTTACTTCATTTGAGTTTGAAACTATTCTGGCTAAGCTGTTGGCAAGTGGCCACTCTGTTCTAACCAAGCACCAAGAACACCAACAAATGGGACCAGTTCCCATGGCAATATCCCTAATTATGTGTATCATCCATACACAAGGCATATCTGAACAAGTGGTTTTTTTTATTGTGATGAAAACTAGAAGATTTCCCCCAACATACGTCATCAAACTATTTACAACCTCTGTAAAATTTGCGTGTTTGAAAATAGTTTTTCCACTATCACATATGTTACGAATACAGTAAAATAGCTTCACTCTATTTTTAAAGATGCAGTACCCTTCTATTTTAATTTTCTTATGAAAATCTGAATTTCTATTGCAATTGCTCAGTATTTAACATATTTAAAATACCAATGGACATGGGCTGCTAGACAGACATTACTCTATAATGAAATTGTGAAAATATAGCATTTTAAATTTTTATATACATTTCTGAACTATAAAATGCAGGCAAAGTTACATAGTATTATAAGCTGATTCTCTAGTCAGGTAATAACTTACATTTCTACACAGGATGGGTCATTACAAATTACTTCTTTAAAAAAGTTCTTTGTTGGTATTTCCTAGCCTGTTGGCTGCTGCATATACAAGGCGCGTACACTCGTGTGCATGTGTTGGGGGTGTTTGTCCAGGTGAGTGAAAGGCAGTGTGGGAATAAGTAGACATGGAAGACATGACAGGCCAAATCTTTCTCCTCAACTCAACCAGGTCAAGTTGAAAACACTTCTGCGGGACCCACAACCCTGCAGGTGTGGAGGGAAAAGTAAAGGGACAGATTTGGCCGATGGCGTACGTTTACGTGATAAACTTACAGGCAATGGGAAGGGGCAAGGTCTGATAGCGGGTTCTGAACTGTGAGTGTTAAGGCTTCCTGGGCCTGTGTGGTTCATCAGCATTAGTTCACATTTGAGCCTTTCTATGCAGACTGCGTGGGTGCTGGCATTAACACGGCTTCAAGTCTATGAATCCTCACTATAAAAGCAATAAGACAACCCTGAAACTACATCTTAGCTACACTTCTAGGCAGTCCTAATAACAAAACAAAGGAATATTAATACAACCGAAGGCCTCGCCTCTCACCACATTTATTCAATTGCAGCTTTGGTACATATAATAAACAAAGCACAGACTTAGGAATACTGCATCTTTTCCCGTATACATGTTACCATTCTAACGAGCTGATCTCAAAGTACAGACTGACATTTCCATTTCAGACACAAATGGCAATCTGAAGTTAAATAAGTTGTATAAAAATGAACACAGTCATTGCATGAGCTGTTCCAAATTTCAACCATGATGAACATGGCTTTTCTAATTACCTAGAACCATCACTTGTAAACACTGAAGCATTTTGAAAGCCCTCTCCCCTACCTCATCTTCGTATTTCCCTTTTAAACTTTGAAGTGGTATTTAAAGGTGCTCATTATTTTACTCATGGAACCAACGCTCAACTTTTGAAAACAAACGCCATATGCGTTATGTAAAGATAATTGTATAACCTCCATGGTATAGCCCTCAGGAACCTCTTTCTAAATGCCATAAAAGAACTTAAAATCAAGCCGTGTCCAAAGCAGTTGACAGCAGGAGGCTGGAGCAGAATGGGGAATTTCTCTCGAAACAACTTCAGATTGGAATATTAAGGGATTCTCTGAAAACCCTCAAATAGTCAAACTCCCTCATCATCAGGCTTCAGTTCTCCCTGCTGTGTGCTGAGGCATTCCCAAGCACACGCTGTCTGTAGCTGCAAGCTGAACCACTTCAAATCGGAACCGAAAGCACGCTCTGCTTAGGAAACAACTGCGAAGCCTGTTAGGATTCTTTCCCTTTTTTGATAGTTTACCATATACTGTGCTTTTCAAGAAGCTGGACACACATATGAAATGGGTGGAGGCTCTTCTGTGCCTAAGGACATACCATTCCCTCAGTCCCAAACCACTTTCTTTTATACAGGAAACATGGAGGAAACTCACCAAGGAGGATTGCTTACATTCCCCAGAGAAGCTCCAAGTAAGTTTCAGTTCTTGGAGCAGATTAGGATGTGTTTGTGAACTTGTGCTTGCATCTCTTCTAAAAATATCGCTATGTCAAAAGTTGGGGAATGCTGTAATGATGGCAGGTTTTATCGCCTTCCTTACCATCTCAATATGCTTCCCGCTTATTGGGAGCGAGGGGGAAAGCTCCCTTCCCCAAGTCTTCCCTATTCTGCTAGAGAGGTGCAATTCATTTAGCTCTGTGCTAAATTTAAATCAAGATGTCACTCAGGAAGCTTCCCCTGCCTGACAGCTCAATGAATTCTACCTGTAAAACTTGCCAGATGTCTCTTAATGGGTAAAGGATTGGCTCTTATGAGAGCGGCCAGAACTAAGCCAAAACTATACTTCCCTTACTACCTGCCAACGAGGCTCTGGGGCCAGTGCCTGGGGAGGCCATGGTTGTTAGCTATGGTTTGTGTCCTTTGCCCTCGTCAGTTACTAAGGCTGGCATGCATCAGGAAACCTGTGTTTATTCTGAATGATAATAGGCGATGAGGAGTAGGAAGTGCATATAGTACAGATTAAAAAATGTTTCAATTGGTTAAAAAAAAAAAAAAAGGAAACCTACTGGCTGGTGGGTACCAACCTTTATAGCTCAAGTTATTTATCAATAGAACTGCAGCCCTTGTTAGAGGGAAGTTGCCTGATAACTTTTTCAGACCTGGCAGAAAATATAGAGCGCATAGTTTTGAAGCTGGGAATTTACCTGTAAATCATGATACTTTTGCTTGGACATTTCTTAGAATTCCCGTAGAAGCTGTCCGACAGAAATGGTTCTTCTTGTAGTGTTAATAGTGCTTGCATTGTCAGAAAACAATTATCCAAATTAGAAGCTAATACTATAAAGGATAACTATAAAGGATAACTCTGTCACCAGAGCTCATTTTTTAGAATGTCCAGACACTTAAAAATGAGTTACGAATATGATGAAATTGATTTGTGCAATTCCCCAAATCAAGCGTGACACTGAAATATATTGCAAAGTCTGGAGACCTCTTATATTTAAGCTATTCAAAAGTCTTAACAACAAAAATCTCACCAAACCCAATTGCCACATAAAGCTGGGAAAATAGCAGCTTTTAGTGGGGACAAAAAAATATGATACTATTTTGGACAGAGTGCTTGTTGGGGATGTATTGCTTTTCCTGTATATTTTGCTAGATACAAAAAGGCTCATCATTTGAGAGAAGGAGTGGAACCTGGCTTTGCTCTCATCCTTCTCCCAGGATAAGCAGGTGGTCTGTCCCTGCAGACGCCAGTGTGGGAGCATGAGGATTCTGGGTGTTTAAAATGTGAAATGTGTAGAGAAGAATCCACGGGAGAGTCAGATTCTGCCTCTCCACGCTGGAGAAGTAGCACCAGGGCAGGCTTTCCATGGGGACACTCATGCCCAAGCAAAACAGACCCACTGGCCAAAGGGCTAATCCTCAGCCCTGCCTCCCTTGCCTCTCTAGTCACCAAATAACTGTTTTTGAACAAGGAAAGGGGAGCATAGTCTTTAATTGTGGTACTCAAGCAAGTAGGACAACAAACAGCGGCAAGGTTACCTCAGTGCCGTGGATGTAACTAAGACACCTGAAATGCCGGGGTGTTTCTTACAATCCCTTTAGTAAGTATGAAAACTGGTAACGTGAGTCCTCAGTGGCGTTATTGTAGGAAAGTCCTTCTATTCATTATTGCTTTTCTCCTCATCTCTGCTTTGTCTCATTTTCATGTTCACTGACTTTGCCTGGGCAGCCCCACCTCTTCCCTCGGTGCCAGTGTGTCTAAGAAAGCCCCCCTCCCCCTTGATTCCTTGTAATCAAACACTAAGGGCAGGAAGAAATGATGCCTAGGTGACAGAACACTGCAATTTGGAGTGGGGCAATAGTTATTATTATTATTATTATTATTTTTAGACAGGCTCTTCCTATTCAACTACAGAACACCTGTGCCAGTCCACGCCAGGGAAGAGCAGGACTGGCCTTTGAGAAATTGCTCTGCCCCTTTGCTGGAACGGATGAACAAAACATCATCGAAACAGAACAAAAACAAGCAACGACAAACAAATGAAGACTCCATGTTGGTTCTCTTCAGGGGATGGCGTGAGGACAAGCGTGAGCACAATCTAGGTCTGCCATCGCTAGCACAGAGGGCTACTTCTGTGCGCCTTTCCTTTGGGGTAGTGGAACATCGCCAACGGCCCCTCCCTTTCTAGTTCATGCTGCTTGCTGGTAACAGGCTGGATGTGTGGTCTAGCTTACTGAGATAGGAACTGAAATTTCTGTCAAAGGGGTTTCAGGGGTGGTGCGGGTGGGGGCCTGGAAGAATCCTCCAAACTGAGAAGGCCTTCTCTAACCATCAATTTGTGGTAGATGACCTTTAAGGGACTGATAGCAGAGTGTCTGCCAGCTCGGAAAATGTACAAGCTACAAACATCTTTTCAATGGCAGAGGACATAGCATGGAAAACAATGCCTGTCTCTTCAGGACCCGAGGCGCTGAACTCCCAGGCCAGCGTGAACGCAGAGGGCTCTCTGACGCGCGTGGTCATGGTGGGGGGTTACCTTCAGGCCGAAGGGAGAAGGGTTGGTTCCTTCCTGTTCCTGCTCTGGTTTCAGGCACCGTGGGAATGGCGGTGCCCTTGACGCTAACACTGTAGAGGGAGCTCAGCCCTGCTGAGTTAGTAGCTCCTCAAGAGACCCAGCTCTTACTCCCGGCTGGAGCGGAGCCGTCCTCACACCAGCATGTGCCTCCTGCGGTGCAGGGCCAGGTGGTCTGACCTGGAGAAGCTGCGGTCACAGTCCGCGCACTTGAATGGCTTCACTCCCGTGTGTTTGCGGTAATGCCTGGTCAGTTCATCCGAACGGGCAAACTTCCAGGTGCAGCCTTCCCACGTGCATTTGTACGGCTTCTCTCCTGGAAGAGACAAAGACACACAAGCTTTGGGGCTCCATCCTTTCTCTGCGACAACCCAGCCAGCACTGAATGCTGGGAAAGCGTTGCCGTCAATGGGTGTTCCATTTGGCAGGTCTCTGTGAGGAAACCTTAGCATCCCTCCAGGGCCCCTGGGGGGGGCAGAGGTGAGTTTTCAATTTCGTCCTTCTCGCTGTGACATCAGAGACGTCAGTTCACATTCACATGTGTGGCTGAGGAGTAATTGCTATGTGGTTTGCTTGTCCCACGGCACCATGGTGGGCTAAACACCAGTATTAACCCTTCCCCGAGTCTGACTTGGCTCTCGGGCTGGAGTCACAGAGAACAGTAAAGGGTACTTAGTTACATTTTAATAGGCTCCCTTTCCTCCGGAATATGTATCACTTCAGGGCTATAAGGCTGTATAGGACATAATGTCCATTTATCTGTCATTCGGGGTATCCGCGTCACTTCATTACAAGGTAAAACAACCCAGACATTAGACATACGTTACCCACAAACATCTACATGGTGTTTGTCTCCTAGGAGGAAATCTTAGATAGCCTAGCAGTGCCAAAGCAAGGATGCAAGCAAGTACGTTTTTCAAGACTGGAGAACCAGACTGAGACGGAGGAATCCTGAAGCCGGACTGAAACGCTGAAAGCCCTTGTAAAAAAAAAAAGAAGTGTGTAACTTGACCCGGCCTTTCAGTCAGCTTGTAAGGGCAGTAAAATCTCCAAAGCCTGTGCTGGGAAAAGATAGCCCATCCATTGTCCAAATGGGCTCCCAGTGGGAGGTGGACAATAGCTGACCTAGGTGCACAGTTTTCCTAGCTCTCCGTCCAAATGGAAGCCCTGTCCCCACGCAACCTCACAGAACTGCCCCCCCCCCCGTTTGTCCAATGGACTGCAATGAAGAGATCTATAATGGGGACAGGGTAGGCGGCTGATGCTAAGCCTGTGCTGCAAAGAATCCCCCACTTCACAGGTGAGACAACGGATGCTCAGAGTAGCCAGGTAAATTACTCAAGGGCTAGTAAGAGGGTGTGCCTGGCTCCGACTCCAGCACCTTTCACTGTGCTACCGAGGAACAGATAACTGTTATTCCCACTGAACTACTGCCTCCTCAGACACAGTCAGTTCTCCTTTGTTTAGTCAAATCCTATTTCAGTTAAGTCCCTAACATAACATGTAATGACCTTACTTTGATGCCTGTCTCCTCTATAGCTGCTGAATTCTAAAAAGGACAGGGGCCACACTTTCACTGTCTCTAGCGCCTAGGTTAGGTCCTAAGCAAGTTCTAGGGTGAATTAACAGAAGTGTGTATGCAACACGCACACACGCACACACACACACACACACGGAGCAGCAGCAGCAGCAGCAGTAAATGCACAGGAAACTTACAGTCCCTTTAAGTGAAATGTATAGGTAAAAGCCAACATGGGAAAATGTGACCAAACTAGAAGGCACATTTGTTTTTAAATTCAACTGTTAAGTCAGTGTTGGGTCTTAGGATCAAGTGGCCCTTTCAGGAGAGAGTGAATGTTTCAGATGCAGGGAATCTAGAAACGCTGAGGCACTAATTGTGGCCTCAGGAAGCACCACAATACTCTGAAAGGATCCATTCAAGTAAAAGCATCCTGATGCATTGACCAAAAACCTCAACTTCTAATTCTTTCCAGTTGTTCCAAAGAGACAAAACACGTATTTGCATGTGCTTGCTGACCAGAGTTCTAAGGAAATGAAGCAAATACAAACCAGGCAAGTGTCTAACTTACAAAGAAGTGGAGATCTAGAAGAGAACATATCCCTGACAGTGAATAACATGTATTTACGTGTTCAATGTTGCTCATGTTTTTATTGTCTGTATGAGTTCTGCAGTTAGTACAACATAAATAAACGTTTCCAGTGTTCTACCACCTTTGCCACTCTGAGTTAACTGGTTGTCACCTAGAGACATCTCCTAGCAGTGGCTTGTGCTTTGGGATCACGAAAAGAGAAAGTGTCAAAATGGAGGAAGGAGAAGGGATCTTCTTTTTGTCCCCCCCCTTCATTGAAAATTGTTTTCTTTCCAACATAATATATCCTGATTACATTTCTCCTCCCACTTCCTCTCCACCTCTCCTCTCATCCAGATCCACCCCCATTCTGTTTCTCATTAGCAAATAAAGACTCCTATAGGATAATAATAAAATATGATAAAACAGAAACACATTGGAATAGGACACAACAAACAAGCAGTAGGAAAAGAGCTCAAGAAAAGACACAAGAAACAGACACAAAGATCCAGCCATTACACATACTCAGGAATCCCATATAAATACCAAACTAGAAGCTATACTATATACACAAAAGACCTTTAGAGTAAAAAGAAAAAAATGTAAATAAAATAAAAGTATGATAAAATTCGAAAGGAAGGAAGGAAGGAAGGAAGGAAGGAAGGAAGGAAGGAAGGAACGAAGGAAGGAAGGAGCCACCAAAGATGCTGTTGATTTCATTTTCTGTTCAGTTCAACACACTGCTGGGTATTCAAGACTTGTTTCTCCAGTGAGACTCCCTTTGAGAAAACTGAATTTTCATTTGCAAATGGTTACTGATTGGAGATGGCTCCTGCATCGAGGGGTATGTGTCCCCTCTTCCTCTCAGCTATCAGACTCCATCTAGTGCAGACCCTGCAGGCCTTGCCCATGTTGCCTGTCTCCATGAGTTCATGTGTGGGTTGGCACCACTGTGGTTTGTGTCTTCCACCCCCTCTGGCTCTTAGCCTCCTCTTCAGCAGTGTTCTCTGAGCCCCAAAGGGGGAGGAGGTTTTTATTTGTATTTTTATGGAGACATCCTATTTAGGCCTGAGTTTCCCAAGGCACCTCTCTCTCTCTCTCTCTCTCTCTCTCTCTCTCTCTCTGTGTGTGTGTGTGTGTGTGTGTGTGTATGTGTCTCTCTCTCTCTCTTTCTCTCTCTGTCTCTTTGTCTAGTTGCTGTGGGTCTCTATATTTGTTCCCATCTGCTGCAGGAGGAAGCTTCTCTGATGCTAACTGAGCAAAGCACTGATCTATGAGTATAGAAGAATGCCATTAGCAGTTGTTTTATTGCTACTTTTTTTCTTTCAGAACATTAATATTTGGTGTTTCCCTAAGTCCCTAGGGTATCTAGTCTCATCAGGTGTGGATTCCATCGGGTGAAGTGGGCCTTAAGTCAAACCAAATATTGGTTGGTTATTCTGACAATTTATGCCACCATTGCACTAGCATATTTTGCAGGCAGAAGGACACCATTGTAAATCAAAGGGGCCGTGTCTGGCTTGGTGTTTCCATTTTCCTTTTGGTAGCCTGAAGAGTAACTTCCCATATCAAAGACACTAGCACGTAGAGCTGAGCTTGACTTCTCTGTGTTCAATGAGTTGTGTAGACGTTGTCCTTTGCAATGAGGCCTTGCTGTCAGTTTGTGAAGATCAACTTATAGACTTGACAACAATCTAGGTTGTTTGTGGGGGGGGTCCCATGAGACCCTTCTGAACAACAACTCTATTACATGTAACAATACCACAACTGGAAGCTTCATTTGGTGACAAGACATGTCTAGCTGAGGTTCCATTTCCCTTATTGTTTTGCAATTTAGATTGCTTTTATACAGGTATGGATTTTACAAAGCTTCTTCTGTATCACCCCTCAAATGGCCCTTAATTCCAGCTATCACTCCCTTCTCCCTCCTGATACCCTGAAATCAATTCTTCTGATCTAGTCCCTTGCCATATACCTATAGCTATATTTTATTTCTCTTTCCTAGCAAGATCTAAGTGTCCCTTTTAGTCCCTTATGCTATACCTAACCTCTGTGGTTCTGGCTATTTTGAGTAGAACATCAATATGAAGTGAAAGTTTCTGGTTTCTTTGAAGACTCAGTTTTGTCATGTGATGTTTTGCTTCAAGCTGGGCACTTGATGCTTTGCTGGAAGTTAGCTTGTAAGAGGGCACGTGATGTTTTGCTTGAACTCTCTCTTGCCAGGGGCATGACTTTGGCCAGCTGAGAACATCCATGGGTGAACTCCGAGGAGAGAAGATATATAGAGGCCCACACACAGTGAGAGATCACTTTTTTGGATGGATATCGCTGAGCTGATCTTCATTCTTTGACACTTGACTTTCAGAGAGAAGCATTCCAGAGAATTTCTAACTGAGTCTTGTGGCTTCTTTGTGTTGGCCTTTGAACTGGACAGCTGGTATCATAATGGACTGAGTTGGGTAATCCCCTAAAGGCCCCATTGACCCTAATCAGCAGGAAGTACATAAAAGGAATCTACAGCCTTTTCCTCTATTAATCTCCTATCTAAGGTCAGGGGGTTGGAAGGGAGGTAAAGATGCTTAAGAACCTTAAATAAAATAGGTTTGGTAAAAAAAAAAAAAATCTAAGCCTACATCAATGAATATATACATGTGAGCAACTGTGTCTGTGCCAGGATAAAGCATCCTTTGGGCAAATGCCCAAGAGTGGTATAGCTGGATCTTGAGGTAGACTGATTTCCCTGAGGAAGTGCCACACTGATTTCCACAGTGGTTGACAAATTTGCACTCCCACCAGCAATGGATGAATGTTCCTCTTATTCCACATCCCTCACCAGCATGAGCTGTCACTTGTTCTGTTGATCTTAGCCATTCTAACAGGTGTAAGATGAAATCTCAAAGTAATTTTGATGTGAATTTCTCTGATGACTACAGATATTGAACTTGTCTTTGTTTTTTTTAGCCATTTGGATTTTCTCACTTGAGAAGTCTCTGTTTTAGAGCTGTACCCTCCACTTTAAAATTGAGTTGTTTTATTGATATCTAGTTTTTTAGTTCTTTATATATTTTGGATATTAGGCCTCTATTGGACAGATAGTTGGTAAAACTCTTTTCCCATCCTGTAGGCTGTCTCCATGTTCAGATGACAGTGTCCTTTGCTGTGTAGAAGCTTCTCAGTTTCAAAAGGTCCATTTTTTAAAAAAAAATTATTTTAAATTTTATTTTTA